TGGAATCAGAATGCATCTCGTTTGCTCTCATGGACTACTGGGTAGGCTCTCTGTTGAACGAGCACGTCCCATAGTCTGTTCTGAAGTGGGTGTCTTGAGTACAAACAGTCGTTCAGGGACAGGGACTTGGGCGTTGCTTGGGCAGAGGCGTCACAGACAATTCTCATCCTGGTGGTTTCAGCGGACTTGCGAATTACGCACTTGTGAGGGATGTAGAACTCCTTTTCTAGCTTGGAAACGGGGGTTGCCTTTTTGATAACTCCTTCAGTAAGCTGCTCCTGAATACTGCCATCGTATTCAACAGTAAGATCTTTATGTTGGAGTTTTGTGGTTAGGTTCTTAAGTCACGTGAGGCTGCCTTCCTTGTTTGAGGGCAGTGGTGAGTGATTGGCCTTCCACGACATGGTAGTCTCGTACAAGCCCTATTGCAAACGAATTAATTGCTCTTCTGCAAACATTCTCCGACTTGGTTTGTAGTCAAGGTAATCCATTTCGTAGGTGTTGGCTGATTAGTTTCTTGTTTGGGTGTATCATAAATAGATGTGTGGTGACACTTGTGGCATTGTTGAGAGGCAGATTTGCTGGGACAATAGACGGTGCAAGAGTGATTTTCTCTTATACTTAATTCTGTGTGCTCGACCTCATAACCTTGCAGTATTGTGTGTTTGAAATTGTGGTTTTAGTAAAACCTTTTAAAAAAGAAAGAGTAATTAAAATAAATAAATAAATAAATAAATAAAACACGTGTATGAGCTGCCATTACAATATTGGCGAAATTTCACTAAAAAAAGCAGGTTTTTGAAATTTTTCTGTATTTTTGACCCATTCGGACGCAGACATCGAAATAGACACTACAATTAGAAAAACTGTGGATGGAGCATCCATATACATAAGGAAATATCACAAAGTCCAAACCATTGTGGAGCAAGTGAGTATATAAATAACATTAACTTAATAGCAGCACACAAAATCAGCATGGGAAAGTTGGGACCTTGCAAAACTTTCAGAGGCAGTTCGATTGTGGTCCAGGAAGAATCCGGTGGATACAAAGCAGCCCAAACGTGAGCAAGAACAACAAACGTCAAAACAGAACATATGCCAGCAGGCAAGAATTTACCACGTGCGTCGTAGTGCCGATTCAAAACACCGCTGTTGGCCTTACATATACTGCGGCGAAGATCACAAAGCTGTCGCATGTAAAAAAGTGACAGACGTCCCGGATCGCAGACAAATTCTCCTCAACAAATCAAGTAATTATTATTAATGATCTTGACAATGCTTTGTTTTTTTACCTGAAATTTGTCCAAGTAAATTTGGACTCATGCCATTGATGTGACCAGAAAAAAAATTTGATCCATTTGGCAGCTTTCGTTCTGTTGTTGCGTTCCATTTTTGATGCATATTTCAGGCAGCCGTGTAATAGCACGTTCGGTACTATGGAGTGTACTGCCAGATGGAACAGGGGTTCCACTGAGTAAAATGCATCCAGCATCAATTCGTCCACGTGTTTGTCTCCGTGCAATTGTTGTAAGGCGCTGATTACGTCTTCCTAGGTATGTGGCGTTTGATCTGAGTTGTCCTTGTTGTCTAATCTCCATAGTGCCGGCACAATGTGTTCCAAAACAGACTCTATCTCATCAATGAAGCCATTTGTGAAGATCGTTCCCGCATAGAGTTGAATCAACTGTAAGTTCTTTTTCAATGTGGTGGCCATCTCTGACATGGCGATGTTAGCTCTTGTCAGCCACTCACAATTCCAATGGTGTATTCTGTTTAGGACAGCATCGTCTGATAGGTTTTGCAATGCCCTCCCATAATTGAGTAGAAAACTCCGTGGAAAGTGCTTATTGCGGTTGGTTTTAGAGGTTAGGGTTAGGGAAGAGCACTGTGACCCCACAACCTAGGCTATCGAATGTCCGGTATGCAAAATGTTTTACTAACCAATCTCCCTGAAAAGCCTGGCGATGGCGATATAAAAGACTTCTTAAGGGTGGTAACTATTTTGAAACAAAATGCCTGAAATGGCTTTTGTCGGGGGTTGTATCTCGTTGAGTTTTTGCGATGGGAACTTGCTGCTATGGAAAGTTTATCTCATCATTTTTTCGTACCATTCACACCATCATAAGAACAGGTGTCGGCCACCCAAAAGAGCCAGTCTCCATAGTGGTGTGATTCCATCTGATTGAGCACCCTATAAGAAACAATGTATTAGATGGTGATCTATTTCTTGAAGAATTGCCTTTTGTATTATGAGGATAGCCATCATCCTCTTACCTCAACATATTCCTGTGTTTGGGATCAACCCTGCTCCTCTAATTGACAAGGGCAACTACCATTCCCTTCCCATCTTCTTAGGCCTGCCAACACAACTGAAATAATGTTATTGATTCACCTCGTCACTTGCAAAGTAGTGAGCTGCGAGGAGATCAATGTGCTCTTGTCCATACTCCACGAAGTCACTGCCATTCTCCTTAGGTGGTATGGCTGTCTTGTCAAACAC